TAGAGTATATTAGTCGATTATGTTAGTACAGTATTAGTAGAGTATGTTAGTAGAGTATTATTAGAGTATATTAGTAGATTATGTTAGTACAGCATTAGTAAAGTATAGAGGTTTTTGGTAGAGTATATTAGTGGAGTATATTAGTACAGTATTAGTAGAGTATATTAGTAAAGTATAATAGCAAACTATTAGTGGAGTATATTAGTAGAGCATTGGTAGATTATCAGTAAAGTATATTAGTAGAGTATATTAGTAAATTATTAGTTGAGTATATTACTAAAGTATTAATAGAATATTAGTAGAGTATTAGTCGAGTATATTAGTAAAGTATTAGTTGAGTTTATTAGTAGAGCATTGGTAGATTGTATTAGTAAAGTATATTAGTAGAGTATATTATGTGAGTATATTAGTAAAGTTTTCGTTGAGTATATTAGTAGAGTATTAGTGGAATATTAGTAGAGTATTAGTCAAGTATATTAATAAAGTATTAGTCGAGTTTATTAGTTGAGTATACTAGTAGAGTATTGTTAGATTTTATTAGTAAAGTGTTCGTAGAACATATTAGAAGAGTATTGGCAGATTATATTAGTAAAGTATTTGTTGAGTATATTAGTAGAGTATATTAGTAAATTATTAGTAGTATTAGTAGGGTATATTAGTAGATTTTGTTAGTAGAGTATATTAGCAGAGTATTAGTAGAGTACATTAGTAGAGTTTGTTAGTAGTGTTAGTAGAGTATATTAGTAGAGTATATTAGTAGAGTATATTAGAACAAAAAAGTGGAGCGGATTTTCAGTTGGATCATATTATCGAATGCTAGTCGTCTTTTCAAACCCTAGTATCCATACTTGTACCTGAGTAATGAATGTAAATACTTTTGACACCTCTGATTTCTATAGGTCAACTTTACTGAGAAATGTTTTTTAATGATTATTTCTGATTATAACGGGTCACTCAGAGTGTTTCATGCAGGCTGAACATGAAAAATGTCTCCTACACCTATCTCCTGCATTAGCTTCTGATAGAAAATAGTTGGTGAAACTCTAGGATTAGAAAAGTCAAAACAGACCTAAAACTGACCTTTACATTTTTACTGCAAACGAGAAAATAATGAACCTTTAGTGAATTTATAAAAACATAGCATTATTATCAGGATAACGGCACATTTATGTATAAATGTAGAGTAATTGTTTAGTTATTTGGTGTGGAAAAAAATTCTTTTTTTCCAGTAATTTCCGCCGGTTAGTCAGGGTTAGGGTCAGAGACTTTCATAAAGAGACTAAGATGCCGGCCTGTTCACTAAATAGCCAATTTTCTGGTAAAACTCTGATGAGTTTCAACGTCCCACACCTTTAGTTAAGATTCTATTTAAAATTCAAGAATTTTGTCAGTTTGGAAAAGAAAACATAAACGAGCTAGAAAAAAAGTCGTATAAATGAAAATTTTAAAATAAATGACGTAAAGGAAAACTTTCCAGAAACATTTTTACACTTTGATTTTTTAAAATTTGTCATAAATGAAAACTTCTGCTAATAAAAGATCAATCCACCACTTAAAGCAGCTGTTAAAACTGATATTAGTGTTTTTGTTGCTTAAAAGCTAAAACTGTTCTATTTATTCTACATTTCACACATTTGTGTGACTCATGCATCTTTAAATTCTCTATTTCAACATTTATTAATAATATTTATAGTCAAGGATCTCTGATAACATTAAAGATTACAAAATGCTGTTTCAAAGAAAAAAAATTCAAGTGAGTCTAGAGAGAAAACAAGCTGTAAAACCTAATCGGACCCACTCTTATCTGTGGGTTAGTCCGGTCAGATAACATCCTGTAAAGTGCACAACATTTACCAGCAACACCCATGAGGGTTGCGCTCTGTTTTTTTTTATTCCATTACGCTTAATGCACCTTGTTGCATTAAACGTGGGTAGTGTTCACTTGCTGGTGCATGGGTGCAGAACCACTAAACTTTGCAGCTCAGCTGTAGTTTGCAGCTGGTGCCTGATACCCTGACCCTGTGGGTCATGAGGTCAACATTCTTGATTGTTTCAAGGCTCAAACACCAACACGGTTCAACAGCAAAAGGGAAAAGTGATTTTGCTGCTTCAGGAAGTGCCGCTCGAAGGAAATAAGAGCATGGATTTCCATCTTGGTTGTCATGGTTACCTGTGACATGTTGTTGAAAAGCAGGATTATATATATGCGCTGTATTAATCACATAGCTTGGATTGTCCATTTAGGGAGGAAAGCAGGTGTGTGGAAGCAGGATGTGCTCCAGAAACACCTGAGCTCATTTCCAGGACAGGTGTGATTAAGTTTTATATGTCAGAAAATTAGTTTGCGTAACTTTTAAAGTAGAGTTTTGGTAAGGATTCACTTTTATAAATGAGGCCCCCGGTGCTTTGGTTTCAGGAAGTAGAAAACAACAGGATTACGAGTCTACAGCTGGTGTTTTTCAGATTGCAACTTGTGAACATGCCGCAATAAACTTGGCACAAATACTTCACACAAACTCAAATACAGGAGGCAGCTGCACACATGTAATTTCAATTAAGGGTCCTTTTATTACCATCGCTAAGAGACAATAGGGGGTCCCTTTATTACCATTATTAACTATTAAGTGTCCTCAAGGGCCAGGTGGGGCTCTGATTATTAATGCATTACACCAGTGGTTCCCAACCTTTTTCCCAAGGGACCCCTTTTTTACCAGGAACATTTTTGACGACCCCCTCCCATTCTCTCTTCCAGTACAAACATTATTAAGAAATGATAAAATTGTTCAAGCACATTTTAATATGCTTTGATTCAATAGATAACAGTAATAGTAGGCTCCAGTACAGAACAAAGTCATTAACAAAACCAAACAGAGCATAATGTGCTTGACAGTTTGTATTACTTTTCTGAACACATTGTTTCTTGTAAACACTGATAAATCAATCATTCCTTTCAATTAACGTTTGACACATAAACAATACACTGAGCAAAATGTACTTAAATGTGTATATTACTTTTTATACTAGATTATTTACTGTAAAGGCTGTGATTAATCAACCAGTCCTATCTTTAATGAACTTTTGACACTTGACAATAAAACAGTGAGCTGAGCAAAATGTTCTTAAAAGTGTTACTTTATCTGTACTAATTATTTCCTGTCTTAATATCGGTAAACTTTTCACTCATGAAAAAAAGTGAGCAAAATGTAGGCTATAAACAAGTAATAAATGAAGTTTTAACCCCCTTAAAGTGGAGCGGTCCTGGCGACCCACTGAGAGGCTTTAGCGCCCCCTTGTGGGGGTCGGGACCCCCAGGTTAGGAACCACTGCATTACACAATATGGTTAAGCAGTTGTTAATCATTTATCCAACAGTTTATTAAGGCTTAATAATGCACTAAGTAGCATTAATAAAGGCAGCCTTATTGTAAAGTGTTACGGCATTTTCGAGTCCATAGGCGTGCCAAGCTTCTGGGTGCCAGTATTTCCCTAAATCTCTGGTATCTTCGCCAAAACACATTCTTTAGAATAACTGGTGGTGGGCAATCCCTGGTGTGTGGTCTTAGAGCAGTTACTGAGCTAAAAACAACGAGCGAGTGTAAACACAGGTCTCACACGTCCTTTCAGAGCATTTATGTTGCAGACATTGATGTGGCCAAGCCTAAAACCTCAGTTATTTACATCCACAAACATATGTTCACAACAGAGGATTTGTACATGTCCACTTTGCCGTTCATCTCCACATCCATGTGGATAATGGAACAAACCGTAACGTCTTCATTTTGTGGGATACCTGGCTACATGAGTTCTAGGACTTCCTCATTAATATTCATAATATGCAAATCTCCACAATAAATGCTTAGCTATGTTAGAATGTTGTTAAGAGGCATGAATAAAATGGGTTTTGTGTTAGTAGCTTTAAGGAAGAGAACAGTGATGTTCTGTCAAAACTAAAATACCGGTCACTGTGCAGCAGATTAGCGTAGCACACGAATGTTTAAACCTCCTGGCATCACTTCTAAAAGCTTCTAGATGCTGGTTGATAAACTCAGGCAGGATGTCGTTACTTTTTCGTTATCTCTCGATAAAATATTCCATCCTTTCTAAGAACATCATTAGTTTTGACATTTCTCTGATGTGTGACTCCCTTAAATCTTTTGTATTCACGTAATTCATAAGTACTGGAAAATATTTTTAAAGTAATGGAATATCATGTTAATAAGAATTTAAATGTTTTATGTGTACTAAAATAAATAAAATGGTTCTTTTTTGGTGAAACTCAAAGGAGGGACAATGTATTTCCCTTCTAAAAAGGTATTTCAATTAATTTTTTATCATAAAAAATGCAGGATACTCAAGTATTTTAATTTTTATTCAAAATTATAGTTTGCATCTTATTTTAAAATATCAACAATTAATAATGTTCGGTCAAGTTTTGATTTAAACCAGTTCCTGGAGGAAAATAGTTTTTTTGGGGGGGAAATGTGAATAAATTATTAAAATTTTATTTATTACAAATACATAAATTAATACATAGATAAATAATTATATAAATAAATAAAACACATTCCTGTGGTGATTCGGGATGTTTTCCTCACCTGTTAAGCAGGAGAAAAACACACATTTTAAATATTTAATTCTATTGAAATTCCCAAATTACTAGAGCCGACTTTGTGGCACGAAGACAAAACTGCATTTTCCAGAGGTGTTTATATTTTTGTGTAACAGTAAATAGTCCTTTATATATGTTTCACTGTTTTACATAATTAAGCATTGATTAGGGTTTATTTGTAAGGAAACACAAGCACAGTCTTCACATATTACAGAATTCACATTTTCATTATTATTTTTAATCCATTCATTATTATCGTTATTAGTATTTTATATAAAAGTCTGTTTCTAATCACTGATGGGCCGTCTTTGGCTTCTTTCTATTTTTGGCGCGAACTCCCTCGTCAATATAAACAGGTTGAGATCATCTGAGTCTCAGTCTTGAGTCATGAGCTGTGGTGACGATGTGGTTCCTTCTCCTGTTCCTCCACTCCTTCACTCACTTTGAGCCCGTCAGCTTAGAAGGCAAGTTGTTATTATTATTATTAGTTTAATAAAAACTTACTCTGCTAGTCACGTTTGCGCAGCAGCTGCTGTAAAGATGGCAAACAAAAATGTTGTAATTAACTTTGTGAAATAAAAAGTTTTTTTTCCAGATTTCACAAACTCCACAAATGATTGATGAATAATTTTTAATTAAGGACCTAAAAGAAAAATAAGTCTTCAACAATTTTCTCAATAATTAGATTTTTGATTGGTAACTGGACATGTAACATAATATGCAACTCCTCCCCATATTCACCTAAAAGGACATAAATGCATTAAAAAGGTTTTTTATTTGATAGAAATGTTGTTATTTTCACCACTTGATCAGGTTTAAAACGCCTTTCACCAGGCTCAGTCATGATGGAAAAACTCTTGAATTAATTTCATTTATATAATTTATTCACTCATTAAGCTACATTTAGGATAATTAGTCTTTGCAAGATACAAAATTAGATATTTTTCACACGAAATATCTAAACAATTGTTTTCATATGTTTTCTGTGATTTTATTTCACTTGCTCTGTCTTAAAAATGTTATAACTTGATGAAAATAATTAATTTGGTTTTTTAAAAGGTCACAAATGTTTGTCTCATTAGAAAAAAAAACCCATCAGTTTCCTTGGATTTGTTGCTTTGTTTATTGGTCATCAGAAACTAAAACAGGGTCTGGGTCAGTTTTTCCAGGATTTCTATATTTAATAAACTTTTATCAGTAGTGCTAATAAGTCTACTTTTAGTGAACATCAAATTAAACTTGAAACTAATGATGTGGTTAAAATATTTGGTACATTTGTGCAACAACAGCCTCTAAACAGAACTTGTGTCGCTGTCAGGCGTCACAAAAATCACTTTGATGGCCACAAAAGGCCCGTTGGCCACATTTTGGACACCCATACAATAATGAGTTTGTTAGGATGTATAAACTCTGATTTGATGCTTTCAGATCCCATCTGACCTTTCAGGGCACCCCAGACGACATTTGGTTGGATTATATTCAGGTTCAAACTTCTGTCCAGTTTCGAGATGTTTTCATTGCAAATCTTATTCCTGTTCCTCAATGGGCTGCGCAGTGGTTAGAGCTGTTGCCTTGCAGCGAGAAGGTCCTGGGTTCGCTTTCCGGCCTGGGATCTTTCTGCGTGGAGTTTACATGTTGCCCGTGCATGCGTGGGTTCTCTCCGGCTCCCTCCCACAGTCCAAAAACATGACTGTTAGGTTGATTGGTCTGTCTAAATTGTCCTTAGGATTGAGTGTGCGTGATTGTTTGTCCTGTGTGTCTCTGTGTTGTCCTGCGATGGACTGGCTCTGTCCAGGGTGTACCCCGCCTGATTGCCCAATGACCGCTGGAGATAGGCAGCAGCCCCCCCCCCCCCCCCCCCCCCCCACGCGGACAAGCGGGTTGACAGTGGATGGATGATCCTAAATTTAACTTGTATTTATGTGGTTTAAAGTTATTTTTACAGAAGCAGCTTGAGGTTGAACCCGTTCACCAAAGCCATGCCTGATGAGAAGTTTGTCCAAAAAGATTGACAGCAGTTACCCAAAGAGAGATCTGAAAAGACGCTATGAAAAATCCCTTTGTTATGTTTATTGTTTATTTAAAGGAAAAGTTTTAAAAGATTTTTGTAGCTTTTAGCAAAAGATGAACAGGAACCCTCGTTGAAAAGTGTTAACCTTCATTCTACTGAAACCTAAAATATGAAATCCGCGATATGGATCAAGTTCCCGCAGTTTCAGCCACAAACCTTCTGCTTTTCCACCAGATAATTTCCGTCTCTTCCTGAGGAGCAGCCAGGGTCCTTGTGAAGGTCATGTGGAGGTCTCGTATAACGGCGAGTGGGGCTACGTTGGAGACAAATATTGGAACACGACCACCGAAGAGGTGGTTTGCAGGAGCACTCACTGTGGGACGCCGGTGGAGAACTCAACCAGAAGTGTTCGCAGGTCCATGAAGAAGAAGGTTTGGCTCAACGAGCTGAAGTGTGACGGTAATGAGAGCAACCTGTGGGACTGTCCCAACTGGCCCGGCCCAGGAGTCAGCTTCTATCAGAAACCCACGGTGAAGAAGGTCAGATGTTCATGTAAGTTCTTTCTGTTTCACAACATCTGATGCAACGGAAAAAGGCCTAATATTAGCCAGATATTAAATCCCAACACTGTTGAAGGAGTTTTCTAATAAAGATTCATTAGAAACATTTTTGTTGTGGCCTTGAAAACTTTTCCTCACAGATAAAATCAAAATCGAGCTGAAACCACACCGATGTGAAGGAGCTGTTTGGTACTCTGTCAACGGGAAACATGAAGGTTACATTTGCAACGACAAATTCTGTAAGAATCTCAATTATTAAACTATTATTTATTATAAACTGGAAACATTAGAAAAGGGTGCAAAAGTCCACTGAATACAGTAATTCAGCTCAGACCGAGAGATCATCTAAAGGCTCAGGAACCCTCTGCAGGTTGAGTAGTCTAAATGTTGAACCTGTTCACAATATTCTGACATGTTTAACGTGGGGTTTTCATCAGCTGTGAGCCACAATCATCCCAATTATAACAAATAAAGGCTGAAATATCTGGATTTGCATGGAACGAGTCTGTCTCAGGGATTAGCTCAATCTTTTAGGTTGTTTTACTGACATAAACAAATTTTGCACCAGAATCAAATTTTTCCAGTTTTATCTGTATTTTGCAGAAATGTCAGCAGAAAAGAATCCTGGATGTGTTCACAGTAGGAAACTTAGTTAAAAAAAGAGTACAGATAGCAAATATGCAACATCCACCCCAATGTATCACAACTCTAGAACGGTTCTAGTTTTAGACAGAAAGCAAAACTTTCTAGAAGTATTTAAACAATTAATTTTTCTCCTAAATGAAGCCGAGGCAGATGCGGAGCGTTTGTGTGAAAGCCTGCAGTGTGGAAGCTTCAGTAAGAAGCTGAATCACGAGTGGACGAAGGATGAAAAGCAGCAGACGGGGATGAAGATCGATTGCTCGGGTCTTAATAATGTGACTGATCTGTGGCAGTGTGCACAACAACAAACCACCTGTAAATCGCCCGCCTCCATCTCGTGCAAAGGTAACAAAGTCACTCCCAAACACGCATGCACATGCACTCGTGCAAAACTGTGAAAATACCAGTGCTGGTGTATTTAAACAGGCCACGACGTCCTGCAGCTCGTAGGAAACCAGGCTGATGTTTGCTCCGGACAGCTGGAGAAACTAAGCGACAACGAATGGAAACCTTTTCAAAAACACAAAGTTGATGCGGCAAAGCTGTGCAGCCAAATGCACTGCGGCACCTTTGGTGTCTACGACCAGCTGAACCAATCCCTGGCTTGCTCAGGTAACCTAATTCATGTGATTTCAATAAATATACAGTCTCCATGTCACTTCATGTCCAGATGCAGGCTAAAGATCTGGTGTTGGCCCTCCAGACAGAGTCGAAGTGTTTCTGAAGAACGACATGGGAGAGAAGTGTTATGGTGAGGTCATGATCCGGCGGAACGGCACCGATCGTGCCGTCTGCGGCTCCATCTGGACTGAAAAGGAGGCTAAAATAGTCTGCTCAGAGCTAAAGTGTGGGACAGTAAGTTTAATGCTAAGATGATGAATCCAGCTATTTTAATTTAACTGTGATTGTGATTCTTCCCAAGGCACCAGGGCGTAGCCAGCTGGTGCCGCCAAAGTGGCGGCGCAGCTTTAGCCTGTATTGATGGCTAGCTCAAACTCAAGAGCAGACTTTTAACACTGAAGGGGCAGAATTTTTATATTTTAGCACATGTCTACAGCACAAATGCACACTCATTCATTCAGTATATCAGCAGAAACGTTGATTTGAGGGTAACTTACAATTTAAAGCTACAAAGTGAAGAGGAACATTGAAGTAACTTATGTCAACTGGTTCCACTGAACCCAGTTGTTTAAATGTAAAGCATAATATACATAATGTTAAATTACCCTCAAGCAACTGGTTTAATGGAACTACATTATACAACTTGGGTAAGTTACTTCAACGTTTCATTCATAAAGTACTGAAATGTTACTTCCTGACGCTGTTCGATGATATAAAGAATTTCCCCAAAGTCCCTCCTCCCCGCCCCTGATCCATCCTTTTATTTATGAACATTATTCAAATGTTTTAGAAACAAATTCATGGTCCAAGAACAATCTAGTTCTGTATTCATTTTCATTTAACCCTCCCACTGTCTTCACAGGTGACCCCGCAAAGAAATTTAACCAATGAGCAGGGTTGATGGTGATGGGGTCACCTATGAAGTCAGTGGGAGGGCTGTTACATTTTCTGACTCGTTTGCCCAAAGAGGAAGTCATAGAGCTCAGATTTGAGATGTTTTCCTGCTTGAACTCTGCAGAGTTGAATAGTGTTTCACAGCTCCTGCAGAACCAGATGAAGGCTGCAGTTAGAATCAGGTGTGTCTGAGCAGGAACACGTTGAAAACATGCTTGTTAGTGCTATGAGGCTGTTTGAAGCGTGGCTCTTGGCTCTTTTCTGAAGGGGAGGCGGAGCTAAAGCTATCCAAATTTCGAAATCTCCTCCTCTCCTTGATGACATCACGCTACGTACCAAAGCTATCAAATAGAATGTTTTTTTATCTTAAATATGATTTAAATATTTTTAAAGATACATTTTTATGAGAAAACTATTTTCTGTCCTGCATGTTCCGTATTTTGGTTGATTTAAGCCAATCCACAGCCTTTATTTGGGATTGACGTGTCTCAAATTTTTTCTTGTAGGTTTTAAAACATTCAGTAAAACAATCAGAACAATCAGCAGGACGGAGACGAGAACCAGGGTTGATGGACCACGTGAAGTGTGAAGGCAGCGAGGCGTCGCTGTGGCACTGCCGAGCTAAACACGTGAACTTAAAATGTCCCTCTGTACCTCAGGTTATCTGTTCAGGTGAGGTGTGGAGTTGTCATAAATAAAATACAAAGTTTAGAAAGGCTTTCCAGATCATTTTGATTTTGACCTTTTTCCTTTTGATACAGAAAGCATGGCCATGAAACTGGTGGACGGTCCCGGAAAATGTGCTGGGAAACTGATGGTCAAGAGCGAGGGCCGGTGGAAACAAGCCAGTAAAGCCAGTTGGTCTAAGAAAGACTCAGATTTTGTCTGTCGACAGCTGAACTGCGGTGACAAAAGTAGAGATAACGCTTTAAAATTCAACAAGGGTGGAAGTGAATTGATCAAGATGAAATGCAGCTCAGGAAAAACGATCACACACATACACGACTGCATTGATCCCAACCAAATAAACCCAACTGATGATCCGTTGGCAATAACCTGCGAGGGTGAGAATTTCTCTCTTTTCTATCGTTTCCGTTGATTCTTAATGGTGGTTTACTTTATGAAGGTAAACATAAATCAAAAGTTAAACAACTTTAATTTATAGCACGAACCTGAGAAGTAGGGATGAGCGAGTACACCACTATCTGTATCAGTATCTGTTCAATCATCTAAATTATCTGTATCTGTACTCGGAGTGGGCATGGCCTAACCCAGAAGTGGGTGTAGTTTACATCAATACGTTATTTTAAGTCTGATCAGAAGTTGTGTATTGTTTATTTGAAAACTATTTACAGAGCAGCCTCAGAGTTGAGATTAAATGTTTTTGATCACAATAGTAAAGGAACTATTACAGAACAAGTTTTTCAATAAAATCAGAACATTATTATTTAAGTGCATGAATTAAGAGAGAGAGAAGAAAAGATCTTTTCTATAGCGCCTCTCAAGATAAAAATCACGGGGCGCTTCACAAAAACAAAACATGTAAAATAGAAAAACGAATTTAGAAAATGATTAAAATATATTTAAAATGAGCAAAAAATAGACAATTGTGGTTAAAAAATGTAAAGAAAGATAGAGTGAATAGGAAAGAGGGAGTGGATCCTGAGAAGAGGAGAGAGAGAAAGAGGAAAAAAAATAACCCCGACCAGAGCGGAGGCAGTGACTGACGCAGCACAAGCCGTTTTCAGCTGTCTTGTCAAATGTACCACGTACGTTACGAAAAAAGTTACTTTAAATGACTTTAAAGTAACTTTAAAAAGAAGCAAACTGAAGAAAACCTAGGAAATACTGGAGAAACGTGAACAGTGAAGCAAGCACAGAGATCCGTTACTGTGTGTGTGCGTGGATGGACCGGACGCGGACTGAGCTGTGAGCTCCAGACTGCAGAGTTTTGTGTGTAGGGATCGGCCAGTCAAATGGGCGCTCCATTTGACTGGCCAACCACAGAGCGTGAAGACAGTCAGTTACCCAATGAGGATTTTCCTTCAGCACGATTACAGATATTTACGAGTTTTACTCGTTTCTTGCTCGTACTCGTCAAACATGCTTTATCCGTACCGGATACTCGTATATGAAATGAGTATCCAGCTCATTCCTACTGAGAAGTAAAAGCAAAAATCCAAACACATTTTAGGTGATTTATCTACAAACAACCAGCCAGAAGGAGAATAACACCGACTGCCATGTTTTTCACTGTGTACAATGTTCTTTTAGCATGCATGCGTCTCTTTTTTTCTACTATTTTATCTACCTTTGGCTTTGAAACTATCAAACCAACCTTGATGTTTTTCTGCACATTATTTCATGTTTGTGGCTAGAATGTAGCTCATCACCATCAGTGTCATTTATCATAATTGGGCTACAAGTGAGAAAACATACTTTCCAGGATGTTTAGCTAATTTTATACGGACATGTAGTTGGGGTACCTTCTGCATTACTAATACAGTCACCTATTCTGTTTTAAATTTCCATTCAGTTAAGTACACATATTTGAAAATTACATTTAAGAATTAGAGGTTAAAGGGTTTTAGCGTGGCCGTGCACACAAGGGTTTTCTTGATTTTTATTATTTTAAATTGGTAAAAAAGCTAATTGTACTGATCTAAGCCACTTTCATTTTTGAAAAATATTAAATGCAACTATTTCTTATTTCAGTAATCATACATTTTCCTTTAAAGCTTCCCTTTTCATCCATCCATTTACAAAACGTCTTTGCAGAACACAAGGTCGTGCTGCTGAATGGCTCGTGTTCTGGCCTCGTGGAGATAGAACATGGTGACAGAAGCTATTTGCTCTCTGGGTCCAATGAGACGTGGAACCAGGAAGCAGCAGACACAGTCTGCAGACAGATGCATTGCGGGAAGGCATTAAACTTCAGTGTCTCCCTTCACAACAAGAAAGAACCTCTATGGGGAGAATCTCGCCGCTGCTCGTCCAACGACACATCGTTGTTCGAGTGCAACGCCATAGCTCTTCCACCTGACCACAATGACACCGTCGCCAGTGTGACGTGCTCAGGTAGCCTTTCTGGAGTTTTTGCTCATTTGAATGAATCCTTATGCTTTCATTGGGGAACGTTCTCCAACAGCTGTTTGGTTTGTTGTCCAATAGGGGAGATTAATATGACTCTATCCAGTGGCTGCTTTGGATTTGTGGAAATTTCTGCAGCAGGAAAAAAGGGGCGTGCGTGCGGTGACACCTGGACAAACGACATGTCCAAGCAGCTGTGCAGGGATCTGGGTTGTGGGAATGACATCCTGGAATCAAACAAGCAGGACAAAACCCAAATCTGTTTCAAAAGTTTCCATGGCAGGGGACGCTACTCCAGCCCAAGCACATACAGCTTTAACCTGATGGAGCACGGTGAAAGGTGTGACCAAAGTGCTGTCTATGTTGTCTGCACAGGTAACAAGGAGCATTTTTTTTTTGTTTTTTGTTGGGAAATCTATTATATTGTGTTTAGTACATTTAAAATGTGTTTTATTTGGTTTTTGTGAAGCGTTTTGTCTCTTTATTGGTCTTATTTATGGAACAAACAGGCCTGAAACCTGAAAGACAACAATGAAATGAAAAAAGTGACCAATGCACCTAAAAATCTAACTAACGTTTTATTATTGCAAAATATTGATTTTGAACTGACTTCAGGACAGAGATATAAAGCTGGTACCAGATGCTCATTAGGGTCACTCACTGGGTCTCTCATGGCCGACTGAAGGAAGAATTTAATCTTGACATGGCGAGAAAATTGTCTCGTCTCATCTTCTTCCGCCTATCCGGGTCTGGGTCGTGGGGGCAGCATAGGGAGTTCCGGACTCTCTCCCCAGCCACCTCCACCATCTCCTTCGGCAGGAACCCAAGATGTTCCTGGGCCAGTTGAGAGATGTACTTTCTACAATGTGTCCTGGGCTGACGAAGGGTCTCCTGCCGGCAGGGCATGCCTGAAACACCTCCCTGGGGAGGCGTCCAGGAGGCATCCTAACAAGATGCCCAAACCACCTGAACTGACTCCTCTCGATATGACTCTACTCCGAGGGTTGTCCCACTGCTGAGGTTCTGACTTTGTTTAAAGTTTGTCAGCTGTCAGGGGGGTTAGGGTTAGACAGTAGCCTGCCCTGACTTGGCACGCAGCACCTTCAGCCAAGTGTAAAAATAGCTATGAGATACACTGAGAGTGAAGGAAACTAAAAAAATCTGCATTCTCACACACAAACTATTAAAAGTCTCACGTTTTAAAGCATAAGAAGATTTTTGGGGGAAATGCAGAGGACCTATAAGTAAATGAAGTCAGTTGCATTGTAAAATAACAGACAGCCCTTTTTGTCCCCCCTTGTTGCAGGTAGTGTCAAGCCAAGATTCAAGGCGTCCCAGGATAAGTGTTCTGGTAACATAGAGATGAGTTATGATGGAAAATGGTTACCAGTGTCCAAGGACTCGCTTGAACATCCTCAAACTCGAAACACCATCTGTGGGGAGCTGAAGTGTGGTGATGCTGAAAGTGTGACCGACTACTTTGGACCTCCAGTGGTGGATGGTGCCATCAAGATAGGATGTTCCTCAGGGAAAATGGAAACTTGCCAAATTTCTATTGAGAAACAACCTAAAGCATCCTTAGGGGGCCTCCGATGTGCTGGTTTGTGTGGCTTCTATCTTGTATCTCCCATCGTAACATTTTCTTGAACACGTCTGCATCCTAGGAATGAACGGGTGTAGTTAGACGACCCAATGAGGGTGACTTTCTTAATCTGCTTTCTCCAGAGTGGAAGAAGATGGCCTTGGAAGTTGACCATGCCTGTGAAGGAGATGTCTCCATCTACTCGAAAGGAGCATCTGAGGACAAACGGTCTGTAGTTTCCAGTCAAGGCTGGACTGAAGCTGAAGGACGGATTCTTTGCCAGAACTTGAGATGTGGCGACTTCTTATCAACAAATGAGTTGTTGTTGGATGAGAGTGAGACTCTTTGGGGGAAAACCTTTAAGTGTTCTGGTAATCCTCAAAGTATTTGGGACTGTGAAACAGAAAAGCTGCAAGCAAAGCCAGAGAAAAAGGCCTATCTAAAATGTCAAGGTAAATCCTATTTTGGTTGAACTGCTCTTTGGTAATTAGCATGGCCTAAGTTTGACCGTAAACCAGGTTATCCGTGCCATTTGTTACCAGCAACAAAACAACTATCTTGTTTTACTTTACTTAGTTGTAAAAAAACAGAAATAAATGATTAAATTTGGTTCCTGCATGTAGACATGTATATAACTAGATAAGGCAGGGGGTTATTTTTCACTGAGGATGTTACTATGGCAACCATTTCAACTATTGAACGACGTGGACTGCCTCAGGGTAGCATAAATAGTGAATCTGAAGTTTATAAAAAATTTATTAAAATTTAAACATTTTTCTTTCTTTTTTTTCTTGCTGCTGGTTCCATAATTAAAATCATCCAAACAAACCTTTTTCATCGTTTTCCTTCCTAGCAAAGCCCAAGGTCACACTTGCACAAAAATGTTCGGGAGAATTGAAGATAGACAGTTCTCCTGTGTGCAAGACGGGGTGGAAAACCGAATATTCTCACAGGGTTTGTCAAGAACTGAATTGTGGAAATGCCATTGAACAAGACTTGGAAGGCTCATCCTACAATGCAGAGAAATTTTATGTCCAATGTGATGACCACAATCATCTCATTGGTCAGTGTAAGAGAGTCCTTGGAAAGTGCCAAAAGTCCGTTTCTATTTCCTGCACGGGTAAGTGTGCACACATTCTCTGTTTAAGCAAATTTATCAGCATCTTTTAAAAGGGTCCAAATGTTAAAACCATGCTTTATTTGTTAGTCCTAGTAAGTATTTAGGTAACACGTTACACTAAGGGTCTCTTTATTAATGTCACTTAGTGCATTATTAAGCATTAATAAACAAAGTGTCTGTTTTAAAGGTTCCCGATGTTAACCGGTATTAGTTGTCTGCTTAGTAATGCATTACTCAATATTAACATTAAGCAGTTGTTAATACTTTATTTAATGGTGTATTAATGCTTAATTATGCACTAAGTAACATTGATACCAAGTTTTTGTTCCCCTCGAATGCTTAATGTTCTTTTTCACAGAGAGTGTTGAGTTCAGCTCCACACAGAGATGCGGCGGTCTGGTTGAGATCAGGTATAATATCAATCGGTACCTAAAAGTGTGCAACGCAAACTTGGATCAGCCCGCGCTGAACAACCTGTGTCAGAGGATCGGCTGTGGTCCGTACAACTACTCAAGCACAGAGGGCCCATTCAAAGAGGTGTGTTTGCATCCTGTAACGTTCCACATCAGAATAAAGAAGTTTCATGAATAAAAAAAAAAGAGTTTTCATTTTATTACAGGCCAGCTTGGCAAGCCTGGAATGCCCAGCTACTTACCGGGATGCTCGGTACTGCATCAAACAATGTCAAGCTACAACCCGAGCTTCCATCTATTGTGAAGGTAACCACAATCTTCAGTACTTCTTCTCTGTTGTCCTGAGATTGAGACAAAACATTGATGCATTGATAGAAAGATAAAGTTAATCACTCACTCCTTTTCTGTTTGTTCAGGCTATCAGCCATCTAGAACAACACCAAGTCCCACCCAGAAAACCAATCCAATACCTATTATTACAGCCGTGGGATTTGTTCTCATCCTGGTTATACTGATTGGCGTTTTTGTAAGATACCATGTTGTCATGAGAAACAGGAGATCCAGAAGGTCAGGTGGGTATATTTTCACAAACTGAAATCCAGCTGGAGGTGTTTCTGCACATCTGCATCAGTTTGTTGTTACTTGGTCATGTTTTAACAAATGGAACAGGTGCTTCCTATTTTCCACCTCTAGAGGGCAACCTTTCCTCGTACTTCCTCACCAAGTCAGCTGCTGACTAGTTCAAAGCCAGAGTTAAATCCGAAAACTTTTCCTAATCCATCTAATTTGTGCACGAGGTTATATTTAATTAGTTTTTTCTGTTTTGACGGTATCTTGTACAGGCCCGATGTCCAATAAACTCTTCAGACCCGTTCCTTTATAAACTATTTTGAAATCTCTTTTGCATTTTTCAAAGCAGCAAATTCGCTGCCAGGCCAGGGATCTGAGTGGGAAAGTGGGAACTACGAAGATGTGGACAAATCCAATGAAATCCAGTCTACTCATGATGGTGAGTCTCAAAATGTACCAATTCATTAGCTTGCCCTTTACCTCTTGTGGCATTGATTAAGTTTCACACATTATTGATGGTATTTTCAGCAGCTTGGGAACCTAAAGATCAACAAAGATCTTAAAATGTTTTTAAAAAGTTGTTTTTGCAGGATTCCGATCAGAATCTGAGTTCATGCCGGAGAAAGATGGAGAAAGTGCCAACAGTTACGACGATGTGGATGAAGTGACCGAGTCTCAGCCCCTGACGGCTCCAGGTTCCTCTGCAGCTGCCCCCAAAGACAACTCCATCCAGGAAGAAGGTCAAAACCAGAACGATGGAAAGTTTTTAAACAATTTAAATCAATTCTTTTTTTTTCTTTGCACATTAAAATGACTGCCTTTTATCTTACGGAGGTTTACTTGGGTTTAACAGATGGTGTGACCTTCGAAGTGGACGACCCACAGGAGGACAACTACGACGACATTGGGGTCACTTCTGAGGCGACGCAGGTTAAAGTGGACGTCTACGACAAACCCAAAACCACTGCTGGAAGTGACACAGAAGCTGCTGAAAATCTGGTGCAGAATGATGGGGATTATCTGGTACCGGGCCAAGAGGGGTGAGCCAATAACGGGCCGAGATCTTCTTAACATAAAATCTATAAGGATGGATGACAGGAAAACCAATTAAAAGATTTTCAAAGTGAGACCTTTACAAACCACATTATTTTTTATCATTGTTCTCATTCTTGTGTGCTGTAAATGTGCCCATCCTGGTCTAGTTTAAAAACGGCTGGATTATGGTTGTTCTTTCATCCCTGCAAATACACAATTTATTTGGTGCATTTGGCTGAACAGTTTCAAACACGTTTAGAATAAACACACTCTTTGGCCAAGCTTGATAAGGGAAAAAATTCACCCTGTTTTTGCATTAAGCATGCTATTTGTATGAACCGGACCCTTCAGAGTTTCTGTTCTGCTCTTGTATTCTAAATCCGGGATTCCCAAAGTGTGGTGCGCGCACCCCCGGGGGTGCGCGAGCTGCCGCTAGGGGGTGCGCAAGATGAAAAGTGTAATGGCTGCGGAGCTCAGAGAAGTCTGTCAGGTGTCACCATTAGCGTTGCCAGAAAACTCATTTGTGGGTGGGCCAAAGAAAAAGTAAGTGGGCCCAATAAATGTAATTGAAAACAAGTATATTTTACTTGTGTGTGTGTGTGTGTCCTCCACATGTGCCCTAACTTCATAATAACAATGCGCCGAGCTTCAGCACTCTGGCCTGCGCACGCCGATATGTTCCGTATCATTTTTAACGGTGTAGGAGGAATCTGAAGGTGGTGAGTAATTCTGGCAGATTGTAATTAACACCTGTCTCATGCAGGTGTTCTGACATTGTAAACCTCACACGCGCTGAAGATCTGAAGTTTAGAGTGCGTCTGTCAGAGGTCAGACGCGTTCCGGAACCACGGCTCACGGGTGCACAAGTGAGCACATCTGGGCTGGGCAGAAGTCATTTTACAACATTGGTTTAAATAGCACCATTAACGAGACACAGTGACTTAAACGCTGCAAGTTGTGAAGCGCGTTCCATCCGCGAGACGCATCACCAAGTGGAAAGTGAATGCGTCAAGCATAAACCAAGCTTCGTGGAGCTGTGCCCCGCGCGCGCGCACGCACACACACACACACACAGATTCAATAAGTGCACGCTGCACAAACTCCGGCGCGCCAGACTGATACCGTCAGACTGAAGGCAGAAATGAGCTCTGCCTCTTCTGTGATAAAAACTTTTAAGAGGTTTTATAACAACATTTTTCATTCCAGGTCAAATTAAGATATTAGCTTCTATTTTGGGATGATGTATTAAAGTCGGGTCCGCTCCAGCCAGTGACTCCGAACCTGCAGCATTTGTTATTCCTGTCCGCGTGGCAGCGGATCGCAGATTCAGCCACACCATAAAACAGCAATAAGTCGGTCTGAGGCAAAAGTGAACCTCATGGCTAAAGCTTTTTCCTTTTCCCCTATAGACATTTGATTACGCACCAGTAGGTGGCCAGTTCAGGTTTACGCAGAGCAGAAGGAAGGAGAGCGCTCTGGCCGCACAGATTAAACGTTCCTACTTCAAGAAAACCATTAAATTTCATTGTTTATGTGCTACCTGGGCACTCTAAATATTTATTTAAAATTAAATCAAAGGAAATTGTAATGGTATCGAATGCTTATTAATTACTATTTAAAAAATGAAAGTGATGGGGAAAAAGGTCGATCATATTTTTTTAACCGTCTGTATAACTTGACGTCTGATATATATATATATATATATATATAGCCATGCCGTGATGTGTGTGTGTGTGTGTGTGTGTGTGTGTGGGGGGGGGTGCGTCGACATGGTCGGGACATAGAAGGGGGTGCGCGGCTAAATAAGTTTGGGAACCACTGTTCTAAACCAACTAACTGACCCGTTTACAGTGGTTTCAATCTTGCCATCGTCTTGCATATTTTAGATGTTTCTCTGATTTGAATCAGTGGGTGAGCCAAAGGCATCTGCAGAACTTGGTGACCTGATGAACAGGTGATTCTACCATTGGATCAGGTGTGTTGGAGCAAAACAAGAACTAAAACTGGCTGGATAGTGGCCCTCAAAAGCCGGGAATGGATTTAACTATGCTAACATAGCAACTTTAAAATAAACTGTTTTGTTTGATTCATTTTCATTCTATAACAAATGAGCAATAATAAAGAAATCAAAGTGGCGCTTGCCACCTGTAGGTCCTCCACCAGGGGGCAGTAGACATGTATAGGACTGGATGAGACAGGTTTCTGAAGAAGGGACTAATCCTGATACTCCATCAGGATGGTTTAAGGCCAGAAGTGGTTTGATGGGAATTTTTGATGATAGATTAATTTTCTGCATTGAAAAAAATATATATATTTTTAAGCTTTCTGTTGTAACTAAAATGTAAAACAATTAAACAACTTATGTAAAATATAGTATAAGTTAGCCGCAGTTGAATGTAACATTGGATTTTTTTTTTTTTTTTACCGTGTCCTGTCTGGCTGTGAAGCAAGCAGAATTGATGTCTGAATGCTGGTGACAAGCCTTACAGATTTATTCTCAGGTGGAGCATCAAAGCGTTTGCTTTTAATGTCACGCCTGATACTTAAAACTTTATTGTTATTGTTGTTGAATGCTTTGTAATTCCGACCAGACACGGAGACAGAGGTGAAAGAGAAAGGAAAAGAAAAGGTGGGGAGGGGGAGGGGGGGGGGGGGTGTTCTACAAAAATAAACAATAATGAACAAGAGTCTGCTTCTAGACCTGCAGAAAAAGACAAAAAAAACAAACAAAGGGACACAAAAAAAGGGACACAACAACAATACACCAAGATCTACCTATCACTGCGTCAACTTGATGAAAAAAAAAATATATATATATATAAAATCAACATTGCTTAACTGAAGAATCACGATAATAAATCACAACGCATTAAGTGCCCACCATAGTCTTAAGACCTGTGTTTAACGTGCCTAAGCCCATACTTTTGAGAGCACCTGTGTGTGTACACGCGCTTGTTTATTTAAGGTTTTTCTATAGGAGCGCCCAACAGAGAGTGTGAGGGACCACAGATCCGCCCCCCAAAGATGCGCAGGAGACGGGGGGAGCTCCAAGTCCCAGAGATCCAGGCGCTGCCCCAGAACGCAGGTATCCCAAGGAGACTGCAACCAGGAAGGCCCCCGCCCCCCTCGAGAGGCACAGAGGATCGCCCCGGGGGGCCACAACCAGCAGCCGGCAGAGTCCCTGGAGATATCAGCGGCAAGCCCACAGGCCCGCCCGCAGCCTCCCACCCCCTAGCCGGCCGAGCCCGGGACCCAGCGACCCAGGACCCAGGGGCGACCATCCCCGCCGGGGACCCAGCAGAGCCCAGGGACCCAGACCCCACCAGGCAGCCTCCGGGATCTAACAGGCAGATGCCAAAATCTTAAACCCCCAGACCCGGTTGCCACGAACACTCAGGCAGACCAAGGCACAAGCCCCCACACCAGGTGTGGCAGGGGGAGGGGGGACAGAGATCTATATCATCAAGAGAAGTTCCAGGAGAGGGGAGGACCCAAAGGCCCCACCTGACATATACAGTCATACACAAACACAGTCACACGCTCCCTCCCTCATGCTCACACATGCACATACAACCCAAGACTTACAAAAATGCACGCCGGACACCCACTCATGCTCCCCATACACACCCTATTCACTCTGGTCCCGGTACTGCTGCACATTGGGTACAACCATCACCGGTAACCAGAGTTTGACCCTTTCTGCTGGGGTGCTGATGAGCAGGCTCCCCCGCCCAACGCTGAGCACAGCAACCCACCACCCCAGGCCCCAACCAGACGGCCAGATCTCCCTCCTAGCCTCCAGCCCCAGGAAGCCTAGCAACAACAGAGGTGGCTAAGACCCCTAGTCTCCCTCCGCCTGCTCCAATATAGTGTTGTGTGATCATGAGGTGTATTCCATGGCTGTGGTGAGTGGGCAGTGCGGGCATCATCCAGCATATGCCAGCTGATGCCACTGCACCACCCCACTTACACCCTCAGCCATCAGTGTCTAAGTGCGGTTTAAAATTGGAAGTGGGCACCGGCACTCGGGAGGAGGCTGAAATATCCCCCTGCCAAATGCCGTTGAATGTGCTCACTCCCAAGGCCCTAAGTGTGTGTTTGTGTGGAATGTCGTCAGTGGAAGTGTATAAGGTGCAAATAAAATTGGGGGGCAGGTTGCCACAGGCATGCGGAAATGGGGTCCATACCTGCACTCCCTGACTTGCCCACCCCCCAAGATCCTATGTGCATGTTTGTGTGATGATGTGAGGGAGCAGGAGGAGAGGAATATGCGGGGATGGGGAGGAATGGCTGGTTGGGCTTCGCCCTCCAGGGAGCCAGCTCCCCTACTGGCCCCAATAGGCACCTCTGTTGTCAAACTGCCACCCAGGGCATGGAGACCCCAGCCCATCCTGCCAGGGCCCAAAGCAGCAGCATTACAGAGCCTCACGGAGTCCGAGGGCACCAACCCAGCCCCACCCCAGCAGAATATCTATGCCCACCCCTGCATTTGCACAACTTCCAGAATATATAAGACATGGGACATCCAGGTAAGGTTGGGTCCTCCCCCTCCTGGACCTCCCCCTCCCCTGTGATGGAACGGCAGAGGAGCCAAGGTCTACCTGAGGCCCCCGAACCCGGGCCAGGCACTGCTGCGTGTCCCTGCCTTCTTCCCGGCAGCATACATGTTAGGATCCGACCCCCAAGGCCCCGCCCAGATCCCCACACGGGGCCGGCCACCCCCAAACCCGAGCCCCCAGGCCCCCACCAAGACCCGCCCAGGGGTATTGCAGCCGCCAGGCAGTGACCCATGGCCGCCGCCAAGATCGCCAAGGGGCCCCACTCACAACCGCCAGTAGTCCACCCCCCGAGGCAACCCAAGCACCTCCAGAGGGGGGCAATGGCCCCCCCAGTCCCAGACACCCCCAGTGAACCCACCTCCAGGGAACATTTGGATACTCCAAACTCAGACCCCCCACCCCCCCACCCACACCATCCCGCAGGACAACATCAACGGCCCCCCACCCTCGCTATGTGATGGAACCGATCAAATGAGCCCAGAGAGATTCATCTGAAGTGGAAGCAGAGGCTATATCAAGTGCAATATGATCTAACAAAAGATTTCTATACTGGTTAATGCAGAGACTTTCTCTATTTTTCCAATTCAAGAGGATAGTTTTCTTAGCGATGCATATGCCAGTCAGAACCACGTGAACCAAAGATGTTGCAATCGGGACATCGTCCAGCTTCCCATTGGATTTTTGTAAAAGTTATTTTGTTAAAACTTACTGTTAATACATTTGTTTGCTAGATAACACATTTTATGTGTTATGTATTTTCAGGGATGTTTGTGAATGTAAAGTCATTTTTAAGTTCCACTTCTGATGTTATCCATTTAATCATTATTCATAAATTTGCTCAACTTTTTCTTTTAGTCATTTATCATAATAAATATTCAGCCATAAAATAGTTTTAACTTTAGTTTGTTGTTTCCCAGCTTTCCTCCTCTTCCAGCTTCCAGTGATGCTCCGAGACTCCATGAATTTGTTTGGATAACGGCTTGGATGTTGAGTATCAAACTGTATGTTAAAAAGCTCATTTATAGTTTGATACACAGCACAATAAGCCGTTTTAACCACAAGACGTCAGTTTGAAGCCGTGAGAGTGTTTCACTGTTTTGTTTTGTTGATGTGACGTTCCCATGACACATTGCACACTTTCTCCCAGTGGTCCTGACACTCGAGAGCTCACAGCAAATGTTTCCGCGAGCCGCTCCATCCACAGCGTAATGACAGATCTGCAAGAGGCTAGCGTGTTTTGTCAAGTTATCCAAGAGCCTCTAAGATCAGAGGCAATGATACACCCAAAGGGACTAATTTGTAAGCTCGTAGCCCTCAGAGATAAACATCACGCCCAGCGTCGCTGTCAGAGGCTTTGCTGTAGATCACGGTGTGGGATTAACCCTGCTTTGTTTCTGAAGTTTAAATAGATGCACAGGAGACATTCTGATCCATTAATGATAGGAGTTATCACACACACATACTCTATTGACAACCAAGATCATTCCTTGACCTTCTCTACACTCGCCATGAAAGGATTACACTCATGTTTTCACACAGTTTGGTTCATGAACTTGATTTTAGCACCTCAGGTGAACCAACCTGAGCCTGAAAACAGGATAATGTGTAATAAACAAAAATAATTAACAAATAACGCTCATATTTGTTATTTTCAATGTATTGATTCACAGAAACAATAATACTTCTGTGTGTAAGGAAGCAGAAACAGCTCTCGTTTTTGGACCTGCACCTCTAGCTGGCCAACAGAGATAAAATACTTATAATATTAATATTTAATACCTGTCCCATTCAGGTAAACTTACTTCTCCATTTAGCAGAGCTTACATCATTTAAATTAGTTTCTCATCAAACAACTTTGGCCCTGTCGAGTTAATTAAAAAAAAGAAAAATGAAAAAGTGCTGCTGGTCAAAAGTGTGAAAGGAATGAGAAATATTACAAGATATAAACTTCATGTTAGTCCAATTAAATAAAACCATTTCTGCTTTTACATTTAAAGAAAATAACTTATGCAACTGATTTTCTAATATGTTTAAAATCCAAAAATACTCATGGCCAAAAACAAGTCACTACCTGGATTTAGCTAAGCAAACAGGTATGAGCCACCATTACTGCATTAATCAGCTGCACAAGGTATTTAACTCATTCACTGCCAACCGTTTTCTGATCACTAAAGCCCCTCACTGCCAGCGATTTTGAGTATTTTTACTGTTTTTTGAAGAGTCACAGAATATTGTGCTCTATGACTATGCAAACACCAAAACTACCAAATGAAAGAGTTAACTCTCTTCTTTCATCAGGAGAAAACGGCTCGTTTGAACCCTTTTCCGTTCTTTCACAATTTGCTGTAGAACACAGGTGGGTTTCACCAGAAATGCCTGTTTCTGAAATGTAACGCAGTAAACGGTCTTTGACACTAATATACTTAGCTTTTTTTACACCTCAGACACCCCAAAAGCAGTTACCTTGGGTAATAATAGTAAAACCAAACTATAAAATGGTTTTTGACAAGAAATTTGATGTTTATTCACAAATGTATAACAATAAATAATCATTTTTGTCAAAGGTAACAATTTCATTTGCAGGCATGCAATCTTACAGAAAGTGCTGTTGTAGTTATACCCGTGTGTGTGTGTGTGTGTGTGTGTGTGTGTGTGTGTGCGCTTCTACCCCTGCACAGAGACAGAGTATCTCACTGTGGTGTGGTAATCTATATAACACTGTCCTGCGTGCAAGGAGACACAACAGACTTTGCACATCATTTTCATCTCTCTGCGAGTTCCTCTGCGTATGCAGACCCTACATCTTTTTGTTGGTCTTGACTTCTTACTGGTGGGTTTCAGGTAACAGTTTGTGTCTGCCAAGGTCTCCATCTAGCCTGCTCTCTGGGTCAGTGTTATAGGGTGCTCTCAGAGTATGTTTGACATCCTCCAAGTCCCCATCCTCAACACCTGCTCCTTCCTCTTCCTCTACCTGTTCCCCCACCTCACTCCCTTTCCGCTCGTGTACCTTCAAGGTCCAGGATTCACTACACTACGAATGAACTTCAAAAGTGTGTTACATCCCCCTGGGTTTCTGGCTCGGTACAGGATATAGGCGTTAAACATGCACATTTGGAACAGATAGGCAACAAACTTCTTGGACCAGTTCAGCGACCTGCGGATGAAGGGGTAGTGGGAAATGCTTTGGTCCAACTTATCAACTCCATTCATGTGAGAGTTGTATGCAACAACACACTCTGGCTTGAACTGAGCAACCTTGTCTTTGTGCCCCTTCTGACACACATCAACTTTCTGCATCCCATCTTGGTGGCAGGTTGTCACCATCTTCACTAATCGTTTGTCCTGCCATGCTACTACCATGACTTTGTCATTGTGCTGCACAACTTTATCCCCAATCCCTAGATCGGTTTTTACCAAATCCCTGATGACCTGAGGCTCCCCCCTATTCTTCCTCAGTGTTCCACAGACATTGGTCTGTGCTTCCAGTAAGCGCTCACACAATGCTACAGAATTGTAGAAGTTATCCATATACAGTGTATAGCCATGACCTGAAAGGTGATCAAGAAGAGAAAACACGGTGTCTGGCAAACTACTACCTTCCCCAAAAAAGGCCTCATATTGAAACAATAACCTGTGGCAGAGTCACACAATATGTAGGACTTGATTCCATATTTCACAGGCTTTTGTGGGTTGTACACCCTGAAAGATAAGCGCCCTCGCCACAGCATCATACCCTCATCAATGCAAATGTTTTTGTCTGGCTGATACATCTGCTTGAATTTTTCCACAATGTTATCTAACACTGGGCGGACTTTGTACATTTTGTCATTCACATCCAGATTTGCATCGTCATTGTAATGCAGAAACTTCCATAAAATCTGAAACCTGTTCCTTGACATGGTTTTGCTGAAATAAGGTGTGGAATCCACCTCATCCACACTCCAGTACATTTCAGTGCTTGGTTTTTTGACATAGCCGGTCAGGAAAGTTAGTCCAAAGAAAGTTTTCAGTTCTGAGACTGACACTGGCTTCCAAGCATTACCTCTGCTATGTTGTGGTAGGTCAGCGTGTGCTTGAAAATACTGACTTGCATACAGATTGGTTTGATGCACAACATGATCAAGCAGCTCATCAGTCAGGAAGAGCTCCAGGAACTTAGCTGGCACATCACAGTCTATGTCTGCAGCAGCATCTTTGGGTCCAGAGGTTGCAGTAAAGAGCATCTTGTTGGGTTGCCAGCCAGCGTCATCCCAGTCCAAATACTGCCCTCGACTCCTGCTTGATGCACGACCTGTAATCACACACACACACACACACACACACACACACACACACACACACACACACACACACACACACACACACACATTATTTATTTGTTTGTTTTTATATTTATTTATTTGTTTGTTTGCCTCTCTAACCTCTTTTCTTTGCAGTACTAGTTGTGGCAGGGGGAGCTTTTCTGGGTGCACGATCTGTAGATTGAAAATATCTTCAAATAATAATCAAAAATCAAACCATTTCCATTATAAATCTGTAAAGAAAGAAGCTGGAAACAAGTGTTGGGGAGACTGTGACATTCATGAAAGTAGGGGAGACGGGAAAGCGGGGAGAAAAGAATGACGCGATCACATCAAACAAATAACACAGCCGTTAGCTGTTAGCTAGCTGTTACGTTACCTTCTTCATTTCTTCTTTTATCGTCTGGTGAAGAATCTCTGCTGCTCCCGGTTGGTCCAGACGGCAACCATTCATCTGAAGAATCTGGGTCAGGTTCGCTAAAATGATCCGAGTCGGAACTGTCTGCTGAAATCGCTGTCTGTAGCTCAGATGAAACATGTTGCGGCGTATGCCTTTCGTCTCCGCTTGGCCCGGGTTGGTTGTCATCTTTTCTTTTGATAGGAACACGATGCAAAGTGTTGCTACCGCGTAAGACTTTGTTGAAGTGTGAGCTGCATAAGATTATCTGATTTGCGTCTCGCCTTAGGCATAGTGGCTTCCCAAAACCAGCTCCTATTTCATGGATCGGCTTCTTCCTGATCACGTGACACGTCACTGACGCACACACAGATGAAGATCATTTTAAGATGATTGGTGTTTACTGTCAGGGTGCGTGAGCTTGTTCCTTACCACCTCCCGTTAAAAAATGTAGTTGACGACTAAAATCGTCATTGGCAGTGAACGGTTGTATTTAAAATGACGACTTTAGTCGTCAATGGCAGTGAATGAGTTAATACAACTGGTGTACTGAGCTGCTTCTCATTCCATAAAAGAGCATGTGGAAAAACACATCTGGTGGTCGTGGAAAAGATGTTAGTCTGTGTGAGAAGGGTCAGATGTTTTCTCTGCTTGATTCATGCCAATGATCTAAGGAAATGCTGAACCTTTGTACAGTGGTCAAACTCCATCATCAATGCAAGAAAAAGTAATGCAACACTGGATGGAAATACATCTGCTGACATTGCAGAAGTTTATTGAAACAGCAACACAAAAAATGTGTGCCTTCAGCTAAAGGTGGTCCTACAAATTATTGGAGTGTGTGATCTTTTATTTGGATGGAGATTTGTCCTTTTGGCCAGACAGTGAATTTGCTTAAAAAAATACAATCATACATTAGAATGTGTGATTAAAATGTATAAAATCATCATACATTAGTTTGTGTGATTAAAATGTATAGTCTTCATACATTAGCAGGTGTGATGAAAAAAGTGTAAAATCATCAAACAGTAAGTTTCAATAAAATGTATAAAATCATCATACATTAGTAAGTGTGATTAAATCATATAAAATAATCATACATTATTAAGTTTGATGAAAAAAGTGTAAAATCATCATTCATTAGTAAGTTTCAATAAAATGTATAAAATCATCATAAATTAGCAAGTGTGATTAAATTGTATAAAATCATCATACATTAGTAAGTGTGATGAAAAAAAGTAAAATCATCATACATTAGTAAGTTTGAATAAAATGTATAAAATCAGCATAAATTAGCAATTGTGATGAAAATGGTGTAAAATCATCATACATTAGTAGGTGTGATTAAATCGTATAAAATCATCATACATTAGCAAGTGTGATGAAAATGTAAAAAATCATCATACATTACACCTTTTTCATCACATTTGCCAAAGTCATTGTATATTATTAAGTGTGATTAAATCATATAAAATCATCATACAATAGTAAGTGTGATTAAAATGTATAAAATCATCATACATTAGTAAGTGTGATGAAAAAAGTGTAAAATCATCATACAATAGTAAGTGTGATGAAAAAAGTGTAAAATCATCATACATTAGCAAATGTGATGAAAAAGGTGTACAGCCATCGTATATTAGTAAGTGTGATTAAATCGTATAAAATCATCATACATTAGTAAGTGTGAATAAAATGTATAAAATATTCATACATTAGTAAGTGTGATGAAAAATTGTAAAGCCATCATACATTAGTAAGTGTGATGAAAAAGTGTAAATCCATTTTACATTAAGTGTGAATAAAATGTATCAAATCATTATACATTAGTAAGTGTGATTAAAATGTATAAAACCATCGTTCTTCAGTAAGTGTGATTAAAATGTATCAAATCATCATACATTAGCAAGTGTAAATAAAATGTATAAAATCATCATACATTAGTAAGTGTGATTAAAATGTATAAAATCGTCATTATTTTTCGGTGCATCCTACCTGTTCTCGGGGTCGTCGAGCCCACTGGGAGGTTTTGGCACATCCTGATTTCGGGGTGGTCAAGATCATTCTCCTCCTCTGCTGTTTTTGCCCCGTCCTGTATTTTCACGGAAGCTGCTGTTCCTTGAGTTTTTGATGGAGGTCAAACCCCCTACGCACGCCAACATCCTCTGGGGTGGTAGGGTCGGTCTTCCCGCTCCATATCTGCTTCCCTTCACTTGAGCCTCCGCCTATGGACCCATTTAGATCGTGATATGCACCTGCTCAGACAGTTTGTCGAGTACCTGCCACCAAGCTGGGTTTCCTCGCGTCGCTCCTTCAGTACACCTACTTCCTGGTCCACGCCTGCAGGGCCTACGCCAGCAGGTCCTCCATGCTGCAGCCTCTTCAGAGTTGCGCCTGCTGCTGCAGCCTCTTAAGGGTCTCACGCCTAATGCAGCCTCTTCAGGGTCCCACGCCTGCTGCTGCAGGCTCTACTGGGTCCCACGCTGGCTGCTGCAGTCTCTACTGGGTCCCGCGCCTGCTGCTGCAGTTCCTACAGGGTCCCACCCCGGCTGCTGCAGTTTCCAGGTCCCGTTCCAGTTCCTGTGTGAGTCAAGTGTTCCCGAGTCTCCTGTGTTATGCGGATTTGTGGGCGTCTGGGAATCGCCCCTGTGTGTGTGTGTGTGTGTGTGTGTGTGTGTGTGGGGGGGGGGGGGGGGGGGGGGGGGGGGGGGGGGCACTGTCACGGTCTGCCCCTGCCTCCCTGACAGTGTCTCTCCTTCCCTTGATTAGTCCTTGTTTTCACCTACCCCTTGTTTACCTGCCCATGTTTTCCTCATTTGCCCTGTGTATTTATACACCCCTCCTTAGTAAGTGTGATTATTATGTATAAAATCACCGTACATTAGTGACAATTAGTAAGTGCGATGAAAAAGGTGTAAAGTCATCATACATTAGTAAATGTGATGAAAAAGTGTTAAATCATCATACATTAGTAGGTGTGAATAAAAGATTTTAAATCATCATACATTAGTAAGTGTGAATAAAATGTATAAAATCATTTTACATTAGTGAGTGTGTGAAAAAAATGTATCAAATCATAATACATTAGGAAGTGTGGTTATTGTGTATACAATCATCATACATTAGTGTGATTAAAATGTATAAAATAATCATACAGTAGTGTGATGAAAAAGTGTAAATCCATCATACATTAGTGTGATGAAAAAGTGTAAATCCATCATATATTAGTAAGTGTGAATAAAATGTATAACATCATCGTACATTAGTAAGTGTAAATAAAATGTATAAAATCATCGTACATTAGTAAGTGTGAATAAAATGTATCATATCATAATACATTAGTAAGTGTGATTATTATGTATACAATCATCATACATTAGTGTGATTAAAATGTATAAAATAATCATACATTAGTGTGATGAAAAAGTGTAAAGCCATCATACATTAGTAAGTGTGATGAAAAAGTGTAAATCCATCATACATTAGTAAGTGTGAATTAAAAAGTGTAAATCCACTTTACATTAGTAAGTGTGAATAAAATGTATCAAATCATTATATATTAATAAGTGTGATTAAAATTTATAAAATCATCGTTCTTCAGTAAGTGTGATTAAAATGTATCAAATCATCACTATTTTTCGGCGCATCCTACCTGTTCTCGGGGTCGTCGAGCCCACTGGGAGGTTTTGGCGCATCCTGTTTCGGGGTGGTCAAGATCATTCTCCTCTTCTGCTGTTTTTGCCCCGTCCTGTATTTTCACGGAAGCTGCTGTTCCTGGAGTTTTTGATGGAGGTTAAACCCCCTACGCACGCCAACATCCTCCGGGGTGATAGGGTCGGTCTTCCCGCTCCATATCTGCTTCCCTTCACCCGAGCCTCCGCCTATGGACCCAGTTGGATCGTGATGTGCACCTGCTCAGAAAGTTTGTCGAGTACCTGCTGCAGAGCTGGGTTTCCTCGTGTTGCTCCTACAGTACACCTACTTCCTGGTCCACGCCTGCAGGTCCTACGCCCTCAGGTCCTCCATGCTGCAGCCTCTTCAGAGTTCTGCCTGCTGCTGCAGCCTCTTCAGGGTCCCACGCCTGCTGCTGCAGGCTCTACTGGGTCCCACGCCTGCTGCTGCAGCCTCTACTGGGTTCCACACCGGCTGCTGCAGTTCCTACAGGGTCCCACCCCGGCTGCTGCAGTTTCCAGGTCCCGTTCCAGTTCCTGTTTAAGTCAAGTGTTCCCGAGTCAAGTGTTCCAGAGTCTCCTGTGTTGTGTGGCTTTGTGGGCGTCTGGGAATCGCACCTTGGGGGTGGGGGGTACTGTCACGGTCTGCCCCTGCCTCCCTGACAATGTCTCTCTCCTACCCTTGATTAGTCCTTATTGTTTTCACCTGCCCCTTGTTTACCTGCCCATGTGTTCCTCATTTGTCCTGTGTATTTATACCTCCCTCCTTAGTAAGTGTGATTATTATGTATAAAATCATCGTACATTAGTGACAATTAGTAAGTGTGATGAAAAAGGTGTAAAGTCAGCATACATTAGCAAGTGTGATGAAAAAGTGTAAATCCATTATACATTAGTAAGTGTAATGAAAACGTGTAAATCCATCATACATTAGTAAGTGTGAATAAAATGTATAAAATCATCGTACATTAGTAAGTGTAAATAAAATGTATAAAATCATCATAAGTGTGGTTATTGTGAATACAATCATCATACATTAGTGTGATTAAAATGTATAAAATAATCATACAGTAGTGTGATGAAAAAGTGTAAATCCATCATACATTAGTAAGTGTGATGAAAAAAGTGTTAAATCATCATACATAAGTGTGAATAAAAGATTTAAAATCATCATACATTAGTGAGTGTGAATAAAATGTATTAAATCAATTTACATTAGTGAGTGTGTGGAAAAAAAGTATCAAATCATAATACATTAGTAAGTGTGATTAAAATCTATCAAATCATCATACATTAGTAAGTGTGGTTATTGTGTATACAATCATCATACATTAGTGTGATTAAAATGTATAAAATAATCATACAGTAGTGTGATGAAAAAGTGTAAATCCATCATACATGAGTAAGTGTGATGAAAAAGTGTAAATCCATCATACATTTGTAAGTGTGAATAAAATGTATAAAATCATCATACATTAGTGACAATTAGTAAGTATGATGAAAAAGGTGTAAAGTCATCATACATTAGCAAGTGTGATGAAAAAGTGTAAATCCATCATACATTAGTAAGTCTGAATAAAATGTATAAAATCATCGTACATTAGTAAGTGTAAATAAAATGTATAAAATCATCGTACATTAGTAAGTGTGAATAAAATGTATCATATCATAATACAATAGTAAGTGTGATTATTATGTATACA